TTTTTTTTTTTTTTTTTTTTTTTTTTTTTTTTTTTTTTTTTTTTTTTTTTTTTTTTTTTTGTAAAAATGTTTGGAGAAATCATCTGAAGAATTATTATTTTTGACTGACAATGTGAAATGTTCTTTTTTTTTTTTAATTTGTCCTTAAATATTAATTTTCTTCCCCATTACGAAACTAAACTATTATTGTGTCACTTTCGTAAATTGTGAAAATGCATTTATCCTGTTATGGCACTAAAAATTTTGTATTTTTTTACGAGTTTTAAGAAGAGTGAAAAATAAATAAATTTTTCTGTGTGTGGGCACAAAATGTACTTTTGTGCGTGCTGTCGAAACACTGGGGGGTAAATATATATAATGTCACACGGTAAACAACCCCAGTGTATAAACATATTTCCGTTTGTTCATTCAAGTAGGCTTATTAGAGAGTGTGTGTCTGATGTGATGATTTAAAATCATTGCAAAATCCTTTGTGTGGATTCGCTGGTTTTCGAGAATAGTGTTGTGAAGTTTTGAATCCATGTTTGAAAAAACAATAAAATTTCCTCTTTTTTTTTCTTACGTTGTTGTCTCTTTCATTTTGAATAAATACATGTTTACCTCTGAACGACATCATAAGTGGTTTCTTTTTTTTTAATTAATTAGAACATATATATATTACCGAAATCAAGAAAATGTCGACTTTCACTGGTGAATATCAACAGTCACTTAGACACTTTGGTGAATGTCCGAAATATTTCTTATATCTGATTTGATATTAATTTATTCGTTGATATTATTATACTTATGCGATATTTTAATATTTGCTGAGGATAGATTAGAAGAAACAGTATTCGGAGTGCATACTGGGCAGTAGCACTTAACTAGACGTAGTATATATTTCGAGCATTTACCAAAGCGACTATGTGATTGTCAGCATTCACTGGTGGAAGTAAGCAACCACCAATTTCTGTCATTCACAGTAACACACAAATATATATATATATATATATTTTAAAATAGCTGGAAAAAAATAAGATTACAAAGTTCACTATTGTATTTTTTTTATTTGTACCTTTTCCCTCTTATAATTATTTTTCTTTTTTACTTAGTTTGACTTTTCTAATGTGTTCACCAAAGATAAACGGTCACTTTTGAAAAAAGAACGAGATTTTTAAATTAATGACTTAATAATCGTCTGCTTTGAGAAGCTGTGTGGGTATTTTAGTTCCATGCACTAACTCGTGGATGCTGGTAAAAACAGATGTTTGAAAAGGTGCAGTGAATATCGGTCTATTGTTTTCAAAAGGGGTTGTTGATTACTAAATGAGACTTCGGTAATCACCCATTTTCTGTAATGTACTCATCCATAAGTTTGGTATTTCAAAACAAGATCGTTTGTTTCATTTAAAATTTGAATTTTAACACTAATAAAGATAAGTCCTAAAAATATGCTCTTTTTTTCCATTTTTAAAAAAAATTTCATTTATTCTAAGGTGAGTGAAATATTTTTATTTTAAGATTACGGTAAAATTCTTTATTTAAATTGTATTAATAACATTAACGTCTAGTAATAGAACGTAACTTTTATTTTACAAATTTATAGTTACTTTTTTTAACTAGTCATTATTACCGGTATGCTTACTAATTTTATCTGGATAACACATTAGTTAGTAGATGTTTTGAATTCGTTAAATCAAAACAAAACAGGGCAATAATAATAATTTCTAAGGAATAACCCTGCAGATGGTAATTAAGAAATAAAATCCTGTCCTAACAAATATCGCCATGAAAATAATTTATTTATGTTAAATTCTTTAAAATTTAAAGCTTCTACGAGATAGGTAGGTATTTTATTTACGTCGCATTAGAGCTGCTCAATGGACTATAGGCGACGGTCTGAGAAGCATCCCAGACATTGATCCGAAGACATGCCATCATAATTTTTATCCTCTACAGATGGGGTGGTTTCTCTGCTTTGGTAGCCCGATGACCTGCACACGAAGGACCGATACCGCGCACCCTCGGTCCCTACGCAGGCTGATCAAAGTGATCGCCCATCCTCTTACTGACAGGAGCCAGTGATACTTGACGATCAGTCCCCTGCGGAGCAAAGCTTACATGAGAGAAACTCATTACCATACAATCATTTATAATTAAGGGAGAAATAAAAGTGTATGATTAACTATGAATATTCATAAATCAATCTGAACCGTCATTAATCTAGCGAAATGTTTGAATTAAAATAAAGAATGGATTGAAAAATGTATTAGTGTTCCTCGTAATTTCGATTTAGGCTCTTTTTTTATTGATTACAGTTTTGTTTTGTGGACAATTTTTCCCCCCTTTGGTTGGTTATTTTTAGTCTATTTAAGTTTATATTTATTTATGTAGTTCACACCTTATATGTGAAAGCGTAAGCGTTTAAAATTTTTTGGGAAATACTGTTTTGAGCACGGCTCGAAAATTAAATTGCCCGATATGCCCGTGATATGCATTTTTTATCCTTATATGCATGTAAATATTTAGCGATATCGTAAAATGCTGATTAATCTCCCCTCAAATTTTTAAAAAATTCTAGAAAGAGGCACCGAAGGGAACAATGATAAATTAAATCTGTTGATACGACCTAAATATTATTGAATTTAATTATCGAAATAAGAATTTATTAAACAATTTTTTACTTCTCTAATAAAGCAAATTGTTTAATAATTTAATTCTTCTGCTCATAAATATCAGTTGTCATCAAAAATGAAGTTTCCCTCGTTTCGATAATATGCGTCCATAATTTCATATAATATGCGACAACTGTGTTTTCAAATCTATTTTTTACTTCAAATCAGGCTCTAATGACTATAGAGCAAGAAATAACGGAATCTGATCGACTCAAAATGTTGACCAATTATTTTGCCAAACATTCAAAAAGAATGAGTAGGAGGCGGTGACCCTAGTTATTAAAAAACAATCTTTAATTTAGTGACAGAGAGCCGCGGTGGCTCAGAGGATAGAGCGTTAGCCTTCCAATGAGGTAAGCCGGGTTCGAATCCCAGCGATGGCTGGTCGATACGAATGTCGCACCTGACTCACACCGATTACAGTGCTGATCGGTGTGAGTCAGGTCGGATCATATGTCAGAGTCCCCTTACCATTTGACAAACCATGAGATGTTTTCATGGTTTTCCTCTCCATGTAACGCATATGTGGATTAGTTCTATTTAAATATCCTCCACTTGGTCAAATTTCTCCCAATACTTGATCCAGGAGCTACCTTGCCTTCTGGATTGGGTTCGAAATTACATGGTTATGGAGTTAAACATTAGCAGTCCTTAACCCTAAATTGGGTCGGCTGTTCAACGACAGTTATAAAATAAAATTTAGTGTAGAAACGTATGTAATGCGTTCATTCTGAAACAAATTTTGTATTTTTGATTCTATCGTCAAGAAGAACAAACAATAACTTTTTTTTTTTAAAAGAAAAAAGTTTTTTTATTGCTTCTATCAAAAAATAAAACTTAACAAGGAACAAGTGCAGAGCTTCGTTATACATCAATGCAATTTCTCAATCGAGTTTTGTGGGTCCGAAACATCAAGTCTTTATGTTCTGAAAGCATTTCTAAAAACAAAATGAAAGAATTAATCAAATACACTTCTTGATTATTGGTTTTTATTTAATAAATTTGGTCGATAAATATCTGAAACTAATCTAGGAACTGAAATGAAGAACAGAGTAGAAAAACGGGAAAGTCTTTTGCAGGTTTTTGAAAAATAAAAAGAAACAAAATTTGAACTTTTTAACTTAAGTTTTTCTAAGTTTAGAAAAAATATTTTAGCTCATTCACTTAAAAGTGTTAAATCATGAGAAATTTTAACTAAATAACTAAGTGATTTATTAAAAAAAAATGCCTACATATAGTCCCCTAGTGAGCAAGGCGTTCGAGCAAGCATAGGAGAAAGTGGGATAAGATCGGGTATCTGAATGGAGTAGAAATTATAGTTAAGAAAAATTATAGTTAAGAGAAAAACCACTATCCCTATGGATAGAGTCTGTTTGCATTTAATTGCACTCCAAATGGATGCCAACCAAGTCAGAAAACAATACATTTTTCAGAGTTATTTTAAAAACTGCCTTATTAATTGTAGTAAATGTTATTTAAAATTATAATTTTAACCATTATCGTTTTAATCAAAGGCCATTTTATAATTGAATAATAAGTAATGGAATAAGTAATGAAATAATAAGTAATGGAAAGTAATTTAAAAAAAATACAGAGAATAAAATAAATGTATATTAAATTAATACTTTTTGTCAGGAGAAAGATATCTTTAAAACAAAAAAAGTAAGTGAAGAGAAAATAAAGTGATCTGAGTCAAGCAGGTTCTCTATATTGTGTAAAAATTTAGCTTTAAGTGGTGCTTAAATTTTCAAAAGCGCTGACTAGGGCACTTCATACATTTAAGNTCGAGAAATTCGTTGTCCGCTGGGAATTTTTGACCGCCGAGGACGGCGGGCGGGCTGTTTTTCGAGCCCTGCATTTAAGGGTCAGACACATATCAGGTATAATATGCCATGCTTCATTCCATTCCCCAGTCATGCCCATCCTTAGTAAATTTTCATCAATGGAGAGTATTTTCATTTAAATTATTGACACTTTTTTTTTCTTTTTTTTTTTAAAAAAACTTCAATAAAAATATTTCTGAAAGAAATTTTATGATATGGAAAATGTTTACATACCAAAAGGGGCATCGCAATTTTTAACAGAGATTCCTGAAAATAAAAACTATGCATAAATATGCAAAATTTAATAACTCAAAATGATAATTATATGAACAATTTGAATGCTGATATTTTCACATAGATCAACTAAAAAATACGTTACATTTTCATCCTAAAATAATTTTAAAATCGCGATTTTTTTTTCATTTGAAAGTGATTTTTTATTTTAATTTATATATCTATTTCAGAGATACCTTAAAATAAACTGCACATAAGTATGCAATATGCAAGGTTTAATTATACACAATGATTCTTGTATGAAATATTTAAATGAGGGTAGTTTCATAAGGATCAACTAAAAAATAAATTACATTTTCATGTTTCAATAACTGTAAAATTTAAAATTTTTTTGTTTAAATAATATATATATTCATACATAAAAAATAAATTATGTATAAGCACACAATATGTAACGTTTAATTGAAGAAAATGATTTCACATGGATCAACTAAAAAAGAAACTCATTTTCTTCCTAAAATAATTTCAAAGTTGTCGGTTTTTTTTTTTTTTGTATAAAGATGATCTTTTATTTTAATCTATCTCTCTTTTCATTTATCTCCTAATCCTAAATACTAGTTAAAAATGTAGGACGAAATTTGAAAAAATAAATATTCATTTTGTTTTAATATCTCCCATTTGTCTTCTAAAATACTTCTGAAAAAAAATTAATTCTTTATTTCTTTTTGTTAGTGTTTTTTTTCTCTTCTTTTAAAACACCTGTATTCACATCTATAATATAATTTTTAAAAATCTAATTTATTTTTTTATGAAATATTTTTTTCCTTCAATATCTTTTTATTTTTTCTTGTAATTTTTAAAAGGAAAACTTTAGTATGCATTTTAAAAATTTACAATGTATTCTAAAAATTATGTATTTTTATTGTTTCACATGATTTTTAAAAGGAAAAATTTAGTAAGCATTTTAAAAATTTAGTATGTATTCTAAAAACTATATCGTTTTATTTTTTCGTGTAATTTTTGAAAGGAAAAATTTAGTATGTATTTTTAAAAAAATATTACCCCTTTTTCTCTCATCTTCTTCTTCACACAATTTTCTGACTGTAAAAGAAAAATAATGTAAGAAAAATCCCGAAAATTTGGAATAAAAAAGTTAAATTTGAAAATATATTATCGAATAATATATATTATACAATAGAATAAAAATTTGAAAATATATTATGAATATATATTGAATAGTTATTACTAGAATTCGGTGCTTAATAACTAAAAATCTCTAAAAATGTTCTTAAATTTAAAGAAATTTCTTTGTAATTAAACAAGACATCAGAATTGCATTGGATTATTAAATAGTTTCTGATGTTTGCAAATGCAGCATTTTTTTTGTTTTTTTGTCCGAAGCCCAGAAAGTTTCTGGAGTTAGCTTTAATTCTTTTGTTTCCCTGAATTCTTATAAAGTAATTTCTAACCTTTGGTACCAATTAGAGATTTACCGGGTACCCGGTGAAAATTTACATTTTTTCCCAGTTAGTATAGAGTACCCGGTATTTATTACCCAACCGGTACCCGACAAGGTTTTATAAAATTTTTTTGAAAAACAATATAAAAATCGCGTAATTTTTGTCGAAGAAATATTTTGCCAGATATAATTCTAAAGAAATTTATTTTGCGTCTATGTAAATAAAAATATAATTTTTATATTTTTATATTTCTTAAACTTAATTTTAAAAAAATAATAACTCCAAAATATATTTGGGATATTAGCATAAAACTTTGATATCAAGTGGATATAATTAAGAGCATAATATTAAAGGTAGGATATTTTAATTAAGTGACAAATGAAAAATGCTATCAACCGTAAGCAGGGGTCTGTTCAGATATTTTGTGAAGGGTCCGATTAAAAGATAAATTATTTTGTGAAGGGTCCGTTTTTAAGTTAAAATATTTTGTGAGGGGTCCGTTTTTATGAAAAGATATTTGGTGAAGGGTCCGTTTTTATGAAAAGATATTTTGTGAAGGGCCCGTTAACGGACCCAAATTTCTTCTAAACAGAACCCTGGTAAGGCTGTGAGCCTTGATGGCTCAGGGGGTAGTACGTTCACCTTCCATTAAGGTGAACCGGGTTCGAATCCCAGCAATGACTGGTGTATACGAATACCGCATCCGGCTTGCACCCGACTACAGTGCTGACATAAAATATTCTCAGTGGTAGACGGATCATGGATTAGAGTCTACTTGCCGTCAGGCTGTTCGTGGAAGGTTTTCGTGCTTTTCCTCTCCATGTAACGCAAATGCGGTTAGTTCCTTCAAACAGTCCTTCACGGTGACAAAATGTCTCCCAATACTTGGTCCAGAAGTTCCCTTGCCTTCTGGATTGGGTTTTAAATTACAAGGCTATAGAGTATGAACATTGGTAGTCATAAACCCAAAATTGAATCGGCACAGTTCAACCATGGTAATAAAATAAAATAAACCGATAAGCGTAATTTTTTCCGTATTCTAGAAATTTGAACCCCTTTAAAAAAAATAAAATAACTCCTGGATCAAATCTGCAAAGTTGCTTTCATGAAAAACTTTTTCTATGAAACTAACGCATTATTAGGAGGGGGGAAAAACACGAAAACTTTCCATGGTTTGCCTGTTAGCAAGAAAAGTGTAACAGGACTGGTTGGAAATTGAATTTAAGTGAGCTAACGAGTCAGTAACAGTTATTTTGGTAAAAAATTAGCGTAAAGTTACCGATGGATAGTTTTATTCCGAAAAGCTTCTTTTCAGTATAAACGTAAAACAACTTATACTGAAAATGTAGTGAAATGTTTCGTCCAATTTCGTTCTGAAAATAAAATAAAATTACTTGTAACGAGAAATTATTCTTCAATTGGGTACTTACACTTCAAAAATAAGAACTCCCATACTCACGCACGTGTCCTATGACGTCAGTTAATCTTTATCAGCAAAATGGCGTTTTAAAGTTGTGCTGAGTTTCTCTACAGAATTTAAAATGTTAATTAACGATAAGTTATTTAAATATAGAGCCCTATCGCACATCGATTTAATTGAAATATAATTCTTTCTCGTCTACTTCTTTTACTTAACTTAGATTTATTATTTGTGTATTTTATTGTAACCGTGATATATTTTCGTTTTGTGTACCTGGCAATTTCGATGCATGATCAGTTTATTTATGTTCCACATGGCTTCGTGACTTTCTTTGTGGTAAGCCTCTGTGTGAATATATATTCTGAAAGAACTGAAATCTTGAGAAGGAATCTTAGTGAAAGAATTTTGAAAGTGTCACTTAAGAGAATAGATGCTTGACGGGCTTGGCTTGCTCGAAATAAAATGGAAAGAACAGTTGCTAAGGTAAAAAAATACCGTAAAACAGTTGCTCACGTTTCAACAACCAATCAGGATCGAGATAGCCAGACTACTTTAGTTGCAGGTATCCCATTGTGGATTGGATCTCGAGCTTATTACCTCCACGACTTCTGGTTAGAAGAAGTTACAACAGCTTATTGTACAAGGCGATAGATAATTTTATTTAAGTAATAAATAATACAATTTTTGAGCTAAAATCAGCTGGATTTCATAAAATATTAATAATATTGAGGGGCCGTTCAAAAAGTACGTACATCCTGAAGGGAGGGGGAGGGGATTTGCTATTTTGTACGGTTTTGTATTATGGGGAGAGGGGAGGTATTATACAAAGTACGTACAATATAAGCATACACCAAATTTAAATTTGACTTTTTCCTACACATGTATTATACATATGTTTGTTCTCGTATTTTTTTTCACACAGCGACCACTTGTTAGAATGGGTAAATCAGTTCTCAAAAAAAGTTGTCTCGCAAAATAAAAAATTGCAAACCCCGAAACTTTTTCTGGTACCGATAAAGATAAAGTTGGGTGTTATTGTTTAAATAATTTAAATGAATAAATTATTTTAAATAAATATTTAATTTTATTTGAAACAAAATTATTTTAATTTTTATGAAAAAGGGGGGTAGAGTAATAAAATGTACGTACTCTAGGGGGGGAGGAGTAAGACCTTATGTACGGTAATGTACGAAAGGGGGGGTTAAAATGTCCCCATTTTTGTGTACGTACGTTTTGAACGGCCCCTAAATAATTTTTGTGAATTTGATGTGGATTTTATTATTCATAGATATATTCTAGAGCAAGGAGATATGGTTGCTATATTTAGAAAGAACTCGCTTTTTTGGCAGTCCCGATGTGGCTTCTTTCGACTTGTTCATTTCACTTTTTTTTTTCTTTCTTACCTTTTTTTTTTTTTTTTTTTTTTTTTTTTTTTTTTTTTTTTTTTTTTTTTTTTTTTNTTTTTTTTTTTTTTTTTGCAGGCAGAGCAAAATTTAAAATTTATGTGAAAATTTAGAATCGAAGAAAACATTACCTGTTTCTTTTCAGCTTCGTTAAGATTGCAAAAAAATGTCAAATACTGTGAGTAGTTTTCATTCACTTTTACTCCTGGATTGCAACTCTCAACTGATTCAGAAAACTGAAATAAATTGTATTCATGTACGTTTTTACAAACAAATTTTTTATTTATTTAAATGCCATTATGAACGAAGACTCCTTTCAGAAATGTAATGTTAATATTATAAATGCAATAATTATCTATTCTAAAATATATCGAAAGTTAATGTCTGAAACTGCACAATAATATTTTAAAATTGCACAGTAATATTTTAAAACTTAATGTCTGGAACTGCACAGTAATATTTTAAACCTTAATGTCTGGAATTGCACAGTAATATTTTAAAACTTAATGTCCGGTACTGTGCAATAATATTTTAATAATTAATAACCGGAACTGCACAATAATGTTTTAAAACGTAATGTCTGGAAAAGCGCAATAACAATTTAAAACGTAATGTCTGAAAATGCGCAATAATATTTTAAATCTTAATGTCTGGAACTGCGTAATAATATTTTAAAGTTTAATGTCTAGAACTGCTCATGATAGCTTTAGGATGAATAAAATAGCACCACCAAAAGTGGCAGCTGTGCCGTGCAATCGAAAAATCAAATACAAAAAATTCAAAATTGAGACATATTGCATTTTTGTATGATAAAGCAACTATACTGCAACAATAATAATAATAATTTTTTTCAAAAATAATTTTTTTTATTCATTTTTCTGAAATTCGTTTTTTTTTTTAACGATGATACCATTAACATTAGAAAGAAAATAATTGTCAAGTATTTCGAAATCTGTCGTGACTCTCTCTTTTCGTTGCTTTAATTGCACGGCAAAACTGTTGTTTCAAACAGTTTTTTTTTTTTTTTTTAATACTATTTCGATCCCTAGCTCATTAAACTCAAGCACCCCCCAGCGTGACTTTCTTAATTCTTCATTGTGAAACAAAAATTTCTTTTAAACAAAAAATACATTCCATTTATTTTCCCATTTCATTTTAATTTATTATATCCATTTTATATCGGTGAAGAGTCATAGTAGTTTCAAATTTCAATAATGATTCCATATTGAAAATTTGTTTTAAATAAATGTTCATTAATGTTTGATCATAAACCATTTTCGACTTTTTGAATGAAATAATAATTATAAAAAGAAAATAATATTAGTGAAACTAATAATAAAATAATAATAATGAAAATAATAATAATAAATCTAAGTAAGAAACTTTTCAAAGATGACTAAAACTTTAGAAGACTTCTCCGATTATTTGAAATAATAGTTTTCAAAATAATTAGTTTATCAGTTTTTATCTACAATTTCACGCAGGGCGTGATTATAAATAATTTATTGTTACATATCTTTTATTTAATAATTGTAAAAAAAAAATTAATAAATATGAAAAATCACGTAATATTAAATAAATCATTGTTATAAATTGATTTGACTCTTTTTTTATGAGAGAAAGTGTTTATTAATATTTTAAGATATTATAGAAATCCTACAAAACTACCCCCACACTTATGTTGTTTCGTGTTTTGCAGTCCCGCAATAAACTGATCGTTAAGACACGGTTCCTAGCAGATCACCGAAGTCAAGCATTACTGGCTGCTGTTAGTGTGAGGATGGGTGACCACTTGGATCACTCTGCGTAGGGACCGAGGTTGCGCGGTATTGGTTTTCGTTAAACTGTTCTACCGTATAGTGCTCGACTTCGCGTTCAGGTCGTCGGGCTACCAAAGCGTGGGTGCCATCTCCTCTGCAGAGGATCAAAATTGTGATGGCATGTCTTCGATCATCATCAGGGATGTTTCCCAGACTGTCGCCAATAGCCCATTGTGCAGCTATAGTGCGACGTAAATGAACTACAACTACAACTCGTGTTTTGAAATTAAAATAAACTAGACTACTTACACTACTTGGCACTAACTGAAGACATTGTAGCACAGAATTTTTGATTTGTTCATTTTTTGCTGTAATAGAAAACAATGCTTTTTTTAAAAAATTTATATGTTTGTTTCATAAAAACACTAAAATAAATGACAATAGCAACAAAATAGCAATCATTACAGACAAGTACTTTTCCTCAATGGATCTTTTGATGGAAATTTTTGGAAGTTCCGTATTAGTAAGCGTATGAAAAAAAGTAAGTTAAAAATAGAAAAAAAAATTTTAATGGTGAAGAAAGTAATTATTAAAAAATGTTTTCAAAAAATATTTACAAATTTAAAAATTTTTATATTTTGAACGAAAATTGGGAAAAAAATAAAATAAGAAAAAATATATAATCTTGTTACCAGCTCTCACGATTATATCAGAAAAAAATAGTGCTTTCTAATATTGCATTAATATAGCCGAAGTAAAACCTATCAATACAAAAGTGTGAGGAGCAAAATTTAAACGAAAAATTTAAAAAATTTAAACGAAAATAGAACTTACTAAGCAAAAAATGTAAAATAAAAATGCAAATTAAAACAATGAATCAAGAATAGAAAATAAAAATTTAAGAACAAACTACATAATGCTCAAAACTTGCTATACAAAGTGAGTAGCGAATTCGAAAGTATTTACGCTTACAGGCATTTTTCAAAAGTGATCTAAAATGTTTTCGTTACAAATATGCCAGATTATAAAATACGAAAATATAAGCTTGCATAGGGGAAGGGAATCAACTATTGGCGCGTTCTTACTGAAGTAAAGTAGCGCGTATGAAAGTTTATAATTAATAAGGTTGAACCGTGATGGCACAGGGGATGGAGCGCTCGCCTCTCAACGAGGTGAACTAAGTTCGAATCCCGACTATGACTGGTTGATTCGATTTCCATACCGGGCGTGCACCGATCGCAGTGCTGACGTAAAATATCCTCTGTAGTAGACGGATTATGGGCTAGTGTCCCCTAACCATCAGGCTAACCACAGGGGTTTTCGTGGTTTTCCTCTCCATGCAAAGCAAATGCAGATTAGTTCCATCAAAAAGTCCTCCGGGGAGTTCCCTTGTCTTCTGAATTGAGTTCGAAATTACAAGAATACGGAGTTGCACATTGGTAGTCGTAAACTGAAAATACGGTTGGCTGTTCAACGACTATTACAAAATAAAATTAATAAGATTGCATGTTAATTATAAAATATTCATATTAGTAATAAGGTTGAATTTAGAAAAAATATTAACATTTAACGAAAAAAAAATTTTTTTTTTGCCCTTGGAATTGCCGGAATTGCGTTTGCACATGGTAAAAATATAAATTAAGTTAACAAAGAGATTTCAATTATAACATACAATTAACTCAGCGATTTTATACAGAATTAATTACATTAGTTGGATATCCATTGCTTTTTATTAAATTTTGGAAATCTATGTTATTTTTTGATAAATAAGCATTACTACAAATTCTTTTAGTTCTATTCATTTGGTTAAAAATGTAACTTAAATAAATGCTTTTAGAAGCATTAGAATTCCATGTAATTAGTTTATTTATATTAAATTTAAATTCATTTCTTTTATGGTATAAATCAACAAAGCAGAAATTTTCTTCTTTTTTAAAACCCAAATTCACAAAATTAAAAGTAATATTATCGTCATGGTTACGAATCAAGAATTATTCCTGGGGCATATTTATAATAGTACCACAAACTTCGGGCAGCTATTTTTATTTATTTTCCTTGGTACTTCTCAGATCATTCTTTTGTATCATTATAATCAAGGCAGGGAACGAACGAGATCTCCTTTTTCATAAATCACAGTCTGGCCGTGGACTGATCGTAAAGACACGGTTCCCAGTAGAACACCGAAGTCAAGCATCACTGGCTGCGGTCAGAAAGCAGTTGGGAGACCACTTTGATCAGCCTGCGTAGGAACCGAGGATGCACGGTATTGGTTCTCGCTAAACTGTTCTACCGTAAAGTGTTCGATCTCACGCGCAGCTTTTCGGGCTTCTGAAGCAGGGAGCCATCCCCTCTGAAGAGGATTTAAATTGGGATGGCATGTCTTCGGATCATCCTCAGGGATGTTTCCCAGACCGCTAGTAGCCCATTGTGCAGCTCTAGTGCGATGTAAATAAAGTACCTAAAGTACCTACCTCTAAAATCGCGAAGTTCAAAAATTACATGAAATATTTACATAATAGTTTCAATAATTCTTAAGCTTTTGAGAACTTGAAAATCAGAAATAACAATAATTATTTTTGAGGTAACATCTGATAAAAGAATATAACCAAAAGACTTCTAACCATTTTACATGAATACTACGATAATTAATAGAATATTGTGAATTCTTCTTACTAAAAATTGACTTCCGACCACTGCGGAGGATAAATCAATCATTTTAAGGAATAAACACTAAAGTTTAAAACTTACAGCAAATCATCTGCTTTATCGGTGAATCTGCAGCATGAACCACACACGCGCAGCATGTTAACAATAATGTCTTTAAAAAATTCATTTTCCTTCAAAGTAACATTGAAATCGTTCTTTTTATATACCATTTTCGCTGACCTTCAAAAGGATGCTTCAGTTTTGAAAGATTGTCACGACCATCGTGGGTGACCCTTCACAGTTAGATAAAAGCTACCCTTCATGTCCGTTTTTTTGTATGGACGGAAACAAATTGTCATTTAAAGTCTTTTCTTACCTTCATAATGTGATAATTTTCCGCATACATAAATACGTTATATTTCATTTATTGTATATTCGTCAACTTCAAAGTAAATATTTTGATAAGATTTTTTCCACCTTTTTCGGATTGTGTTATTTTTTCGGAAATTAAATGTAGCATTGCATCAATCACTGCAGAATAAATATTGCACAGCTGTTCTTTATCGTATTGCCGGCTATACCAAACCATAAAGCAACTATAGAAAAAAAAAAGAACAATTGACATATTGAAGAAAATATGATAAAATATCTTGCACAGTTATGGAAGAAGTATTTTTTAACTGTTATCATTTGAAGCAGCGGTCGGGAAAACTACATTATTTTTGTAGTTTACTACATTTCAACTACTTTGTTACAATTGTAGTAACTATTTTTTTTAAATGTAGTTAACTACTTTTTTTAAAAATGTAGTGACTACAAACTACTTTGGAATTGTAGTAATTACTTCGCAACTTTAAGGAACCGAACTTTGCTGGGGAAATTAATTTACAACTGTATAACTTACACTGCTGGAGAAATTAATCTACACCTGTATAATTTACACTGCTGGAGAAAATAATTTTCACCTGTATAACTTACCCTGCTGGAGAAATAATTTACACCTGTATAACTTTTACTGTTGGGGAAATTAATTTACACCAGTATAACTTACACTACCGGGGAAATTAATTTACACCAGTATAACTTACACTGCTGGAGAAATTAATTTACACCCGTATAACTTAAACTGCTGGAGAAATTAATTTACAACCGTATAACTTACACTGCTGGAGAAATTAATTCCTGTATCGGAATCGAACCCGGTTTACCTCATTGGAAGGCGGAAGCTCTAAGCCATCACGGCCTCAATATAAATTTATGTTATTAAAAAAGATGTAGTTGTATAGATTAAATGTATACAAATACTAACTTTTCATCCATTTTTTCTCAAAGTTTTAGCATGTTTTTATTTCTGTGAAGGTTAAATCATACTATCAAAACTTAGTAATATTGCTGATGAGCTGGAGCACTCAAATCTCTACTGCAGCAACCATACCTACTAACAATGCAAGTTTCAATCGTTTTTTGACCGTTATAAGCAGAGTTTATTTTCACTTTATCATTAAAATTAATTATTCGTTAATCAAAATTCTGATTAACTAGAGTGCTCAAGTCTCATCTAGAACTACAATACAATATGCAATAGTTAGAAATAAACTGTTTGATAATTACCATTATTTGCAATTAAACACAATTCTCAATTAACCATTGAAGTTGTATTTTGTGGTTTAAAAAAATATTGTAATGCATAACAAGATTTTAATTAGCCTAGCTATTTAAGAAAATGGACTTAGTATTAGATTCCATTTCCTAAACTTCTCGCATGAAAATTGTCTATTTTTTAAAGAGAAAGCTAATTCTTCATACGACATCGTCCGTTTGCCTTAGTACATTTCTTAATGTATTTTTTTTAAAAAGTATTTAAAATCCAACAATGTTTTTAAAAAGTAATTAAGGATTTTATAATAGTGGTATTAAATTTACGTTTTGCAAATTTAGATTTTTAAAAACCAACCACTTTACCGTTCTGATGTCACCTGATAGGCTCCCTGAACACGCTTTTATGGACAACAGAACAAATGACAAAAAATATTTTGCAATTTTATATATAATAAAAAAAATATGTATTTGATTTTTAAAAAACTGAATTTATTAAATCTAATGCTGTTTAGATGTATATAAAACTATTTCTAAATAAGTTTGATTACATTATTTGGGTAACAAATTACGGTGATCTCGAAAATTTGAACTATTTCTTAGTATCCGTTTGGCAACAGTCATCCTGGTTGTCAGGCGGTTATGTTTACGAGAGAAAAAAATAAATGAAAAAAAAAGAAAAATATTTTTAGGAATGAATAATTCCAAAACAATCTGAGGTATATTCGTTGATGACTATTAATTATGCTATTTCATTTAGAGTTAAGCGTCTGGGGTGAGTCCAACCTAAGATTTTTTTTTCTTTCACTTTCATGGTTATAAATAACTCATAACCTGTATTCTCATAAACAATTTCACTTGATATTTCACAATAAATTAAAATTTTATGACGTAAAAAAATAAAAATTAATAATATTTTCAGATTTGAATTATATGATGAATTAACTGCTTGGTGTATGTAATTGACAAATTTTTTTTAAATGAAATAAATACGATATTTTAGGCTCGTTAAACAAGAATGACGTGTCGTAAAAAAAGCTCATTTTTGAAAAGAAAACATCAATATTTTAGTTTTTTTCTGTTGTCTATACTTAAAAGGCGAGACTTAATTTTTTTTACGATACTTGCCTCTCTTATTTTCCAGACTCAACAAAAAATTAACCAAGTTCATTTTATTGACATAATATTTTTTAATTTGCAGATCAAATTTAGTTAAAGTTAAAACAGTGAAATAAATGTGTCTAATTATTATGTAAATATGATTGCAGTTTCTAAAGACTTTTATAGGTCAGCGTTTTGATTCAAATTTTTATAGCGGGCTGATGGTTTATTTATACACTTTAAAAATGTACCATGTATGTTTTTTTTTTAAAAATCATTCGACTTACATATTTTTTTCAAAAAAATTAAAATTTATATTTTTTGTACCAAATCTGTTTCTTGAAAAGATCAGAGAAAAAACAAAAAAATAGTTATCGAAAATATTCATCGAAAAATATGAAAAATTTCTTTCAGTTTCTTTAATGACATCAGAAGAAACATTAAATAAATGAATAAAATCTAATGATAAAATGTAACTCTAAATGTCTTTAAAAGTATAGGGACAAATATATAACAATTTGATACGTGAGATATATTTAAAAAAATAATTAAAATATGATTTTTGCTTCCTTAAAAATAAAGGAGAATATAACAAAAAATAAATACTGCATATTTCCAAATAAAGAATTTTTGTAAAAATTTTCGAAAGCTAAAGTAAGGAGTGGAGTAATCAAACTTTGTAGCATCACCAACAAAAAAAAATTGTTCCAACTTTGGCAGTAGATAGCAAAATATCGCTAAAAGGTACGTATACAAAAATTTTGAGTAGAATACATAAAATAACAGTTAACACTTACATTACGACAGAAAAGGAAATGACCTTAAGAGATTTCCAATATGTTTATATTTTTGAACAAAGGTAAACTAAGATAGTGAAATGGAATTACCCTCGGAATTGAACTAGAAGTGAAATATAGCAATATACTATGTTTATTCCAGCGTTACAACATTTAAAAAAAAACTTTTTTTTAAAATTATAAGTATCAGGTTTTTAAGAAACCGCCGGTTCTTTTTTATAAACTGAGACCGAAACACGTCCATTGAGTTTAAAGAAGCCGTATTTTTGAAATTCGATTTCTCAGGAACTATTCGACCGATTTCGTTAAAATTTTGTATTTTTGCCACGTAAAATTAAAGTTTTTAAAAAGGATGTAAGAAATTGAAAACTTTACAATTCAAAATTTTTTTTGGACCATTTTTAAATAAAATAATAAATATTTACCTATAGTTGCATTTTGCTAGGAATTAACTTGGGATAAATGACTTTTATAATTGAGTGCAAAAAATCGTAAATTCGCTGAAAAAGCTCTGGACGTATAGCGAAATGTGCAAAAAATAAAATTATCACTAAGGGGTCAAAACTTTGGACCGCTCTTTTGATTAAATTATGGGGACCATATTTCCCAGATTGTGGCTACTCCCTATATTTTGGGGGGAAAGAAATCCGATTCCCTCGAAAAAAAGGTATATTTATTTAGAGAAAATACATTTTTGCTTCTGATTTCTTACTTTAAAACATCGGTACTTAATTAATTAGCATATTTGAGGTCATCCCCTGTAACCATTAAGATAGAATACTTGAACGTGAAGATCCGATCATCAGATCAAAAGTTATTCAGAGTGGGCCGTTTTTTGGCGCACTGTACATATGTACAATACATGCTTGTCCAATGTATCCCCTAAAAGTTTCCACTATTTAATCAAATAAATGTCCATTCAATTTTCTAGAATTTTTTGCATTCTTCGGTATTCTTTCGTGTGCTCATAATCTATGGATAAACCAAGCTTGTCCAGATGCTCTTGGTCCATTACACAGATGCGTCAGTGTTACCAGCTGTATGCCTTCTTTTAAAGATCTCAATACGACGCCAAGGTGTGGACCTGAAAAACAAGGTCTCTGTTGTCCTGTCATACATCCGCATAGTCCTCCTCGTAAGTAAACATCTTTTTATAAATATTTACTTATAATTTTAAGTTAAAAGCACGTGTTACAACTTAGCACGTGTTACATAGTATTGGCAAGGTCAAAATTTTGTATGGTTTTCCTTCGATGGATCAACATAAGTTTTATGGTAACCATCAATAATTCCATCATGAACTATGTTATTTTCTTATGGTAACCAACTCCAACATAAGGGACCATCGCCGCAATGTAGGAATTCGGAATGATTTATGATGGTCCAACATAAGATAGCAACTTGTTGTGATGGTTTGTTCATGTTGAACCATCCGAAATTTCCATCATAGTTTCTTAGAAATCAAATGTTGAAACTATCATGAACAATTATCATCACGATGTAGGAATTCGGACTGATTTATGATGGTCAAACATTAAAAAAATTGCTTTGATGGTATATTCCTGAGAACCAACAAGAATTCCAATTAAACCACCATGGAAATGTATAGTAAGAACCATTATGGACCATCACGGATCATCATAGATTGTGAGACCACCATGAGAATCAGACTTCTCTTGATGGTTAAACATCATAGTATTAGAGTAGAATCATGGAATGGTGGAAGTTTCGTAAAGTAAGAGTCGTTCGGAAGTTAGAGTAGAATCATGGAATGGTTAAGTTATATATATATATATGGGTCATTCTCACAAAAACAGTCATTTTCATGTCCCCAGTATATTTTATGTTTGTTTTACAGCTTAAGAAGAAGAAAAAATCAGGGAAAGTGTTCTTCAGAATGCAAGCTAACAAAAGAATAAAAATAAAATTATCAATTTTTATTTTTTATTTATTTTAGGTAATTAAAATATACCAATATGTCATTCCCTCACTTGTCCCCACTGCTGATTTAAAAAAAGAAAAAAATTGTTTCTGAAATAAGATTTTTTTTTTTACAAATTTGTGTTTTTTATTTGAGAATATTGAAATATAGAATTCAGAAAATAAATTTTAAATTTAATTTCTGATAAAAATATTA